AAATGTCGAAGAATTACGGAGCTATCGATTTTGGGGATTTATTTACTGCAACATATGTATACAAAGATACGCACCAACCGAAAAACTTCAACCACCCGAGCTCCCAAGTTCGAGGAAATTTTGAGGTATTTTGGGGAAACTTCCGGAGTCAAATGACCTTCACCAATGTTTGGGGGAAATTTCTGGAACTTTGGGGAATTTCCTCAGGTCTGGGTTTTAGTGCCGTTTCTTCAAAGTTTGCCATAGCGACTTCCCCAAAGTTTTTCCAGAATGGGTCAAATTTTCCCCAAAATTGGGAGCTCGGGCAGTAAAAGTTGAAATAAAATGGTTTTTGAAAAGTGGATCTAAATAGATCTTGGAGCTTTATGCATGAATTGTACGATAAACGCAAGATAAATGTAATGTCCCAACACGTAGAAATATTTACTTCCTTTTGTCAAATTGCGCGCCTACGTGTTATAACCCACTCTAATTTCTCTTTTACTAGTGAAAATACATAATTTCTACTAGAAGACATCGATGAACCGTTCTTTTAGATCAGGAATCATTTAAATACAGTATCCCTCTATTCTATCCACAACCATTCGAACTATTTAATGACGCGGTTGGTTAATTGTTACTCTACTGTGGACTCACTATGCTATTGTCAAGGCCGATTAGTAGTAAATTCAAAGGATTCGCCAGTTTATTGAGGCAGTTCCGCTCATCGTTTAATTCACATTCTGATTTGGAGAATGGGAAGTTGGTCAACGTTGGTATGTGGGTTTCACGTTCACCGACTTTTAGTCGTTGTTTCCAACTCGAATTCTACTAAAAAATGGCCGAATACTAAACTTGGACCAATAGAAGCTGTCAATCCAAAATATCCGTTGCCTGGGTTTGTAGGGATTCCGTTAGTGAAGGATGAGAAACCTTTGGAAAAGAAATACACACCTGCGGTGCATACATTACCTCCAATGAAAGAGGAGAACTATGCTGCAGCTCTTTTGAATGTTTACAATGAAAAAGAGGTGAGCATGTCGTTGGTTGTCGCTCATAAATTTTTGGGTGAGTGGGGAGGGGTAGGTTAGTGGAACATGTATTCTCAAGTTTTGAGGGAGGCGTGATTTTTAAATTCTTTGCGGGTGTGTATCTCTGGCGTGTTAGTAGATGTTAGTGCTTCTAGGCGTTATATGAAGTATTTCACCGTGAGGAAGTTTTTGTAGCTTTTCTTCTTTCAACGGAACCAAATCGTTTATAGGCATGCAAACTATTCGGTACGTGGACAAGATTCAAATTTTATTCGGCTTCACGGTATCGATGTGGTCCGGGATCCGAGAACAAATCGAGGAACTGCATTCACTCTTAATGAGCGACAATTACTCCGTATACACGGGCTACTCCCACCTTCTGTATTAACTCTGGACCAACAGGTCTCAAAAATGATGGCCAATCTAAAGAATATGAACGATAATTTGCAGCGCTACGTTTATCTTACTTCATTACAAGACCAAACGAGGCTTTATTTTATAAGCTTGTTATTGAGCATGTGGAATATTGTATGCGTTGATATATACACCAACTGTTGGTTTAGCTTGTCAACGCTATGGTGTAGTATTTCGACGACCTCGAGGTCCATACATAACAGCACACGATCGACATCATATACCCGCGATTCTAAATAACTGGTCTGAACTGATCGTAAAGGCTATCGTATTTACTGATGGTGAGCGTATTCTTGGTTTGGGTGATTTGGGAGCATATGGTATGGGAATACCCATTGAGAAACTGTCGTTATACACAGCACTGGCTGATGTTCATCCGAAGCATTGTTTACCAATCCTTTTAGATGTCGGGGCAGATAATCAAGAATTACTGAATGATCCTGTATATACGGGTATCAGACATAAGCGTATACGCGATGAACGCTATGATGAGTTAAACCATATGCCTAATCTCCCTATTTTGGGGAAATTTTGTCCATTTAGGTAAATTTTTGGGAAGCCTCAATAAAGAACTTTACGGAAATGGCAAAGAACCCGAAATCTTCACAGATCTGGGGAAAATCCCCAAAGTTTCAGGGGAATACCCAAAATATTCGGGGAGAGTTTGGGTTTTCAATATTTCCATAGGATCCTATGACACTTCGGTTTTTTTTCCAAAACTACCAAATTTCTTACGTCTGTGGGGGAAACCCTAAAGTAGAGAGACTAGGTGGATATAAAATTAAGTTATATGATTTAGAATCAGACATATTCGTGAACATTTGTCTATTTCCTATCTTGAAGACAAATATCCGAAGTATTTTATTCCTCAGCTCATTCATTTTTTCCAGACTAATGAGTCTGTTTAATTCTTTAGGTATCTTTGGTATTACTGTTACTTCGATTCACCAAAGTTTAAGATCGTTTGTATGTCGTATTTCTTGTGTAAAATGTGGCAGCTTGGATCGATACGCATTTGTGTTAGGCTTTACGCTATCTATGATTGACTGATCAATAAAATAGCCGGCGACTTGAAAACTTCCGGATTAACAAAGTTCTTCTACAAATATCTAAAGGAAATATAACATCAGAAGTTAGGTAACAATACGCTAGCTCATATGGTGTAGTCTACCCAGGTGCAATTCTAGTCTTGTCGCAGTTCAGGATGATACCAAAGCGAATGCTATCTTAGATTGACTATTGCGTTGTTTTATGTAAAAGCCACAAGAGTTTTCAGTACGGCCATATATAACTTACTATGTATTATTCCACTGTAAAGTAGTTAGTGTATTTGTTTCTTGCGTGAATAGAAAAACGTCAGCATAAAATTGTGAGCGTTAAATAAATGCTTCAGACGATAAGTAGTTAGGAAAAGTATAATTTAACTTGTTTCCCTTTCTTTCGTTAACATTCCCATGTCTGTCATGTTTTTCTGTTTCTAAGTACCGCTTGAGAGAAGTTTAATTGATTTAGACTTAACCCTTCAAGAAGATTCCCCAAGTTTGATATGACCCCTGTTTGTAAGATTGATAAATTTCGGTTTGCACTTAAGGGGCCCAAACACTTAATAATGGGGCGCATAAAAACATACTAAGTCGAGCAAGCTGGATACTTTTGAAAATACTGTATCTCTAAATGGAACATGCGAGAAATAAAAATAATATGTTCATTATATCGATTTAAAGTGATTTTACTTTAGGCATAACACTTTCGTTGTTCCCCTTCATTAACTTTCACCATTTGTCACGTGTATTTAGTAATTTGATTCTAAATGCATTTTCCTATGATTGTTTGCTTCATATTGATTTTGTATTCAGTGACTTACTTGGTTCATAAAACTAGTTAATAACCATAATTGATATGTAACCGGAGTAGGTTGAATGTACACTCAAATCTCTTTGGTCTTGTCATGCAAATCTTAACATGATCCGCCTTTTGAAGTAGCTGGGGGGGGGCTAAAGCGAGTATAGCAGTTGTATACGGTACCCCATCTGTTATTAGTTACCACTGGATATCCGGTTTCACAACATGAAATGCCAATATATTTCTAATCAAGATACTGACATACGTCATTGAATAATGAAACTATCATCCGACGATGCATGTTAGTAGCACCAGCTTATCGATGAGATGAGTGCAAGTGCGAGTCACAATGAGGAATCGTTCTGCTTATTGTGATGAGTAATACTAATTAGAGATTTGCATCTGAAATGAGGTCTGTGGTTCAAGCTCATACGCAAAACCGCCGCTTGTTCATAAGTGTAGGGTGAACCAAAAAGCGAATATTTCGCATGCAAAATTTCAGATTATGAAACTTATTCTATGTCAACGGCAAACAAAATTCAGTTAGTATTTCTTTTTGAATCGTTCATGTCGGCTATTTACATCTTTCAATTTGATTGGTGTCATATCAATAACATGATCAACTAACTCATTGCCAGTAAAAGATCGAGTAGCCAACAAAGTAAACTGTCATCCAAATGCTATAAAACCTTCGAAATGTCTTCAAAGTATATTATTGGACACCGAAATTTGACAACCTTGGGATATAGTGTGTCTAATGTCGACGAGTAAGCAAAGCTTCTCAGGTTCTTTTGATAGTAAATTTAGTTCGATGTCGAGATCTACCTTTTAAGATTTTAATGCAAAGCATCAGATTTCTAAATATCAGTATACAAAATGTGGAAGTCTATGGGATGACATTCGTGCTACATTTCCAGGTCTCCGAAGCCGATATTTCAAGATGACGATGCCAAGTGAGTTGTCTTTCCTGTGCCTAAACTAGATGTCACTGGATACCAGCAATCCTCCGGAGACAACGGTGATCGAGCACGGTCACCGAACATCCTCAAATTAGAGACCAGGTTTCGCAAGCATAGAGGAGAACTGGTCACCGAAGCGTTGTAGACCCAACCTTATACAACCAGACTAACACCACAATGGCTTCAAAGATTTCTAAGATTAGTGAAATCCGCTTGAGGTTTCATTATATGTTGATTGGTTTCATTGGACACACCAATACCGTCACACACAGCTACTCAGGTACATAGAGTTTCGACAACTTCTAACGACTCATCATCAAGCATGAATGATGGCATATCCTGCTGTAGACTTTAGTTATTACTAATATCTATTCATTGACTTACTGTAAGTAGTGGCCACGACGTTATCCTTTGTTTATTACTCTAATCACTTTTGACTTGTCTTTTTCAAAACATTCTTGTTACTGTTGTTACCGCTATTATTGTTATTTCCACTTTTTGGATATCCCACTATATTCTCTATAAATTAGAAAACTAGAAGGATACACGTATGCTTCTATCTGTGCCTCTTTGTTTAACTAAAAAGCTGCTTAATCACATTACTTTAGAAATAGCTGTTTTGTTGCATAGCTGCTTTCATGTTTTAATGAAGATTACAGTTTGTCAGACTTACATCTCTTTTTTTGTTAACTTATCTAAATTTACTTATTTTTTTTACCAACTAGTTCAGTGAATCTCAGCCCTCAATAATTCCACCGGTATCGGATCAACTTGAATGTACCATACACACCTGTCCAGTGCTAGTTCACAAAGTTAGTTGTATCTACTTCGTTTTCTATAAACTCTCTTATACTTAAATATAAATTTTAGCTTTAGCTAATGTGTTCCCATCGAGAAAACTTTCATCAAAACCTTTAACAGCACTAATTCTTAGTCATCACACCAATGAATCGTTAGATGCATGGAGTGAAGAAGCTGCTGATGAACGTGAACAGTTAGCACGATCTGTAAGTGTTTGAAAATATTTTTAAATCATAAAATAATATTCAGTTTATTGCTTCAGCAATAGAAATATGCTCGTCTTTAAAAGAATTGGGCTATTGGGCAGATTTTATTGATCCCTTCACTGGGAAACCGGTTTGTTTTTCGTAATAAATTCTAATAAACTTTTTAATAATAATTTTAGTATATTGGATCACATGGTGAAGCTATGCTCACAGAAACCGATGAAACTATGAAACATTTTGGATTTGATCTAGACAATTCTGTTTGTTGTAAAATATTACGTCATCCAAAGTGGAAGAATCATGTATTTGTTGGATTAATATTCACAGATGCACCAGACTATCACCCAGTACTAATGCATATTTAACTAATATCTTTGCGAAAAAGTTCTTTTACCTCTATTACTCTTCTTGTTAAATTGTTTTGATCTTTAAAAACAATTGTACTTTAATTCTACTTTTGTGACATTATAGAATATATATCTATATAAAAACTTGAAGTATATTTTGATGTATTTTCATTAAAAGATTCATTATAAGAAAATTTACTGATGTGTTGAATAATTCAAATGTGTAAATGTTTCACTAGTTGCTTCTTTTCTTATTGGTAATTATTGATATTATAATATTATTGTTAATAACCCCCGAATTCCCTAGTACAACCGAGAGTGGGAAGAGTCCGCTTTCCCTCTTGAAATACTCTCACGTTGCCACGTTCATACAACCGCTACCAGGGAAGTCCTACTTACTACCTTCTCGTGGTGGGGGTGTTGTTTACGAAATTGAGAGGACGAAAAGTGAATGTCCGGCGCTTTAACCGGGTTGGTAGATATTGAGGATCCACCTAGGGAAGTTGGAAAACCCTGATTACAAACCATTAGTGCACATGGGCTCCAGGATCCCGAAGGAACAAATGACGTATGAACCAATCGTTGGTCACCGGCTACCATGTGACTGCATCTCCTCACGATGCTCCACTGCCTTGTGGATCAGACCTTTAGGTCGAAGGCTCCGGGTTGGGGCCCCCTTAGAAAACCACCTGTTTCAGTTTGGGCACCCGGCTAGTATTCCAGCCCTCACACATCGAGTGATTTATGTAGCGTATATCTGTTTGGTACCTCCTTGTACCAATGTTTATGTGTTTAAATAAATAATTAATAATTATTATTACATTAAAGTAGATATTTATCTAATACAATTCTAATTCTTCCTAGGATTATTTCGGTATTGAATATGATCAGAAAGTCGAAGTGATTAAACGTGAAGAAAATAAACGTAAAGCATCATTATCAACATCAAAAAGTAGTGTGTGTATGTGTATTTGTACATATATCTTATTTCATATTATTTTTAAAAGATATTATTGATGAACAATATTTTGGTGTACATGATGATGATGTCAAGTTACATGCTAGAGAGAGTGTTAAATCTAAGAAGAATTCATCTGAAATAACAGTACTTCATTCAAAGACATCTCATTTAGATGATTTATGTGAGATCGACTCACAATATTTTGGTAATGAACTTGCTTTTTATTATTATTATCATTATGTTTTCAAAGTGATATATGTTTGGATTTTATAACGTTATTATTATTACTAAAGGGGTTTATGGACTGATTTTAGTTACACAGTTATTGTCTAATAATTATGTGCTCAGCAGTTACCGATTCCAAGAAAAAATTCTCCAAGTTCTTGTCACAAGCAGTGACCAGTAGAGTTCAACCATATCAAGTGTGGGAATGTTACCTACCAATGGAGCTCTCAAATGCCGTGATATGGTCGAGGGTGGGAAGAGTCAGATCTTCCTATGAAAACGCTCGCATATGGCAACGCATATGCAGTCACTGTTAGACAAGCTGCACTCATTGCCTTCTCTCGGCATTACTGTCGTTTACGAAATTGAGAGGTTGAGAAGTGACTGTTTAGCGTTTTAACCGGGGCGGTGGACACGGAGGATCCATCTAGGGGATTGGAGGACCCTGACTCCAAACCAATTGTGCACATTGGGCCTAGGATTTTGAGAGAACAAATGGTATGTTGACCTTTTATTGGGCACCGGATACCATGTGACTGCATCTTCTAACGTTGCTCCACTGTCTTGTGGATTAGACCTCTAAGTCGAAGGCTTCGGGTATGGCCCACTGAGAAAACTACCTGCTTCCGTTTGGGCACCCGGGCAGTATCACAGCCCACACACAAATAGAATGAAATAATAAAATGAAAACTAAACCTCAAGCAAATTAACACGGAAAAATCATTTAATAAAGTTTAAATAAGTAAATATAGCATAAAGGTGCTGGTAGCATATTCAAGTGCATATTGTAACAATATGTGTAAAATCGTAACTGTGTTTAGAGAAAACAGTAATTTGGAGCCCCATAAATCTAGAATCTGCAATCTCAATATCTCTTTACATCTCCAAAACTTTAACACGGGTCATGCTAACTTATCTGTGTTGATTAGAACTCCTACAAGTATTCATCCCCAAACTGGCTAGTTATTCCCGGTTTCTGTTTTCAAACACATATTGCATATTAATTGTCTTTGCTATGAAGAGGGGTTTCAACCACTAAGAAGTGCGATTTTTAAGGTGTGTTGAAGCCTTCACCATACAAAGTATCAAACTTGTCTTAGGTGGTCAAAAACAGTTTGTTCTCATTTAGAAACTACCCTGGTAATGCTGATTTATTATCCAGAGCAATGTCCACGTTCTACTCATTATCTTTATTTGCTCTTCAGATTTGTCTAATTTGACCTTTCATTTTTCAGATATAAATGTTCTTACAAGCAAATATGTCGTCAGATTATCATAAATGTGTTGCGCTAATAAGTCACACATCATGAACATCTTACCCTTGTATGACATAAGTTTATCATCTCATTACTGGTGATGCTATTACTACCTCTATTATTCTGGGATTTAGCCTGAGAGTTTCATCTTTCTGTGCTAATGGGGTATGGCAACTTGAGCACATGTACAGGCGTACCAGGTTTTACGTTGTGATTGAATGAATGACTGATAAGCTTATCAAAGAGATTGTTTTGAATATGGCATTATTTTTTCGGTGAGTGGATCATTACAGGGTATTTATGTTCTTGCACTAATATATATATATATATATATATATATATATATATATATATATATAATATATATATATATATATATATATATATCCATAGGACAGAAGGGATTTAGCTAGTCTTTTAATCAAGTCCTTTCTTTCTTCACTGTTATTAATGTACATAGGCTCCACAGGATCTAATACAAATCCAATAGAAAATGTCAGCTCAGTAGTTAACAATACTACTAATCCATTGATAATTTCACAGCCTAAAATTAGGACTGGTAAAAAGCATATTCCTCATCCTGCTACTACTATTACTAATACTAATACACATACTGATATTACTTTGAAAAGTAATGCAGATCTAAGAAAACAGGAAAAATTGGTCCCTGGGACCAAGACTGTTCGGGTTGATCATAATGTACGCCGAAATAATAATGATTCATTGAGACTTAACAAAAATGATAATGATAGTCGTTACGATGATGATGTTGAATATGGATCAGATGCAGTTAGAATTATCCGACAAAGAACCAAGTTAAATCTATACACTGGTACTAGTAAGTTTTTTATTGAGTTTATTGTCATATGTTATGTAATGATGGATACAGTTTTGCTCGTACATGGATACATACTTTTATATTTAAATAGCTCGAAATTGGTTTCACTAGGTGCTCAGATGCACTCATTCTTTCTCGATTCTTCTAAACTTTTTTATATTCCCAACAGATAATCCTGTTTATGTAGAAATAGCAATGACCCTGGAGACGTAAAATCTAAGACCAAAAGCGAGAACATCCCATCAGAATTTAACAGAGGTCAGCGTGGTAATGTAGGTTAGGATTTATTCAAGGACCTCCTTATTCATCAGTACTACAATTTACTAGTAATAAAGGAAAACTAGGTAATTTTGATAAACGGGTTGTGGTTAGCAGTAGAATCTAGGATACACGTCTCGTCCTACTTGGGACTCTTTATCTGAATCTATCTCCACCCCAGTATTGATGTCCATATTGGAACTCAATGTCCAAATAACCGCTAATTTGTTCAACGGGTATGACACGTATCATTTTTAGTAAGGACTTGAGTCATTTCGCTGTCAATATCTTTGGTTGAATTCTAATCAGTCTTTATTATAATGTATTGGTATTTAGAGCGTTAGGTGCTGGGTTCAAGTGTCAGTGTGAACATCAGCACTAAGACGTGGTACATATAATCATCTGATGAGTTTTATTTAGGATGGGACATGCGTGCTAGATCCTACTCAGATCACAATTCAAATGTATATGTATATTAACCATGATTATACTGTTTTAAAGATAAATACACTCAATTTTCGGGTCACTTTTTAGCCTTAGATATACCATCAAATAAATCGACAGCGTCGGTCCCAGAAAAATTGGATAGTCAAGGATATCGTGTCCCGGATGAAGATCCATATAAATTTGATTTATTAACTGAAGAAGAAGCTGCAACGGTATTGTATAAATCAATTATAGAAATAAGAGGTTTGTCGAAAAATCTCAATTTACAACTGATTTCACTGTTTGTTTTCTCTATTTCTAAAGTTACTTATGAGTAATGACTGACTGAGCAACTTTAAGGATGGATTACAGGAAGTATAATAGGAAGCCGTTATTTATTTGAACACAAAAATATTAGTACAAAGGGGCACCGAATACCAATGCGTCACAGAAGTCACTTTACTTATATGTGGGCTATGATACTGCACGGTTGCCCAAACCGAGGCAGGTGGTTTGCTTAGAGGGCCACACCCCGGAGCCTTCGACCTAAAGGTCTGATCCACAAGGCAGTGGAGCATCGTGAGGAGATGCAGTCACATGGTAGCCGGTGACCAACGATTGGTTCATACGTCATTTGTTCCTTCGGGATCCTGGAGCCCATGTGCACTAATGGTTTGTAATCAGGGTTTTCCAACTTCCCTAGGTGGATCCTCAATATCTACCAACCGGTTAAAGCGCCGGACATTCACTTTTCGTCCTCTCAATTTCGTAAACAACACCCCCACCACGAGAAGGTAGTGAATAGGACTTCCCTGGCAGAGGCTATATACGCGTGGCCATATGAGATTGTTTCGAGAGGGAGAGCGGGCTCTCCCCACTCTCGGCCGTAACAGGGCATTTGGGTATGAAGTTCAGTCAAGTTGGTTGTTAACAAGGTAGAATTTCATTGGTTGCATATTTAGTGCAACTTTAAATCGAAATATCCTGATTGGTGCATCTCAGCTAATCAGCGCTAGTGGATAGGTCGATAATATATCAGAGACTTCTGTTGATTATATATAAGCCCTTCTGTTTTCTTTAGGCTTTCCGCTTATTTGAGATATTTCTTGTTCCCCTCCCGTCTTTTTTCTGATTCAGGACGAGTCGAATAAGGTTCATTCCCAGTGGGATGACATACAAGTGAGAACATAACGTCGAATCCGAAACAATTCTTGTCCTTGATGGTCAATGTGTTTATTTATAACCAATTGACCGAAATTCTAAATATGGGCCACTACATTCCAATTCTATTTTTTTTTTAAAGTGGTATTTTTCTTAACGATAATGTGCAGTATAGTAGGTAGGAACTTAAGGTACTTCAACTCTCGTTGAAAACAGAAACGTTTAAATTACTACCGTAATTCATTGTGTGTATTCTGATTTTCAAACCTTAGTCAGCTAGTGTGTCATGATAATAGTACCAACAATAATAATAATGTTAATAATAATAGTCAACCAGTCATTAATTAGCCTCTCTATCTCACTACCTACTTGATTGACTATGACTAGATACAGCTGTTTCACTGGAACTCGAAGTCAGCATATGACATTGTCTACGTCATATGGTTGGCGGTTGCCTGTCAGAAAGCTTACATGACCTAGGTTATGTGTCAGTTAGCGCTCATTAGCAATGTGTACCTAGAATCGTTAGGGAACTGATGTTCCTATAGGAGTGGAATCTACGTCACTCAGCACTACAATTTGAGATGTTACCGTCGAACTATTCGGATATGAAGTGATCTTCTGTCTATGCAAATTTTTTGTATAGTTTAAAAATAATCATTTTCCATTTCAAACATTACTTTTTATTCTTTTATCTCTTATAAAATCGGAAATAGAAAATGTGATCACTTTGAATAAACCATATGGAATAGCATCTCAACGTGAGTCAATTTTTCTGTTCATACAAATATCATAGATGTTTCTTCTCAGATGATACATATTAATTATTTGTCTCACATTTTACATATATTTTACTATGCGATGGAGTTTTCCCACTGTTAAACTCAGTAACTCTTGAGTATTGATAGAAGTGTGTAAGTGGCTGCCACTTCCTAATTCCTTGCACCATTATTCTTCTTAAGGCAGTAGTTGCCCTGGGGATCTGGAAGGTTGACTACAGAATCCAAGAAACAGCTACCTAAAACTAGTTACACACTCTTTTTCAACATACTCCCTCGCAAGCGAGAATTACATGTTAAGGCAAGGTAGATGGTAATTCGATATACCTAGCATATATCTTGACTACCTCAGTGGATAAACATTTACAACCTCATCAACCATCTCTACGTAGTTCTCTGATTTCAGAATTATTTACTTGGTAGTCCCAAAATATATGAATAATGCGTCAAAGGCATATATATATATATCCATTATGCCATCTCAAAACATTACTTATTTGTGTATTTTTTTAGCTGGAGCTGATTGTAAACATAATATTGTTGATTTATTACCGCGTATTGAATCAATGATAAGAAAACGAAGTCATCATGGCAATCATGGGAAAGGTGAAGAAAAATGCATTGGTGAACTGTCAACTGTTCATCGATTAGACAAAGATTCCAGTGGAATTATATTAATAGCTAGGTAAGGAAAGTATATATATATATATATATATATATATATATATATATATATATATATATTCTCAAGTGGTAGATTAGTAAAGTTCACTCATTCAACTTTTAACCATATGGTTAGCGGGGTTGAACCACCACTAAAACACATCGGTCTGGATAAATAATAGTACTAGTAATGGTATCACTACCTCCTCACTCATACAGTGTGGCTCTAAGTAACTTCTTTACTTGGTAGACAAGTTACTTCACACTCTGATTTGCTCGTGTTTGTTTAATGTGTTATTATGATGAATTCTGCACTCATTGGGTTATAGAGTAGTCATTGACTATACAGTTGGTTCGAGTCCATCATGATAATTGAGAAAGTAACGAGACCTGTAGTAACAACACAATTTCTGTGTGCAACAGAAAGACTATTCTTAAGAAAAGATAAAATGTATAAATAATGGTAGATACTGAACAACAGAGAACAAAACAACCTCATAAACAATTAAGTTATCGAAATGGGGTAAAAAGCAAGTGTGTACATGAAAATACGATTTTCAAGTCGACGAAAAGTAAAATTTTGTATTCGGCAACTTGGAACTTGCCATATTTAATTATTCCTGTTTTATTTCATTTCGTTCCGATAAGTAATTAATATTATTCTGTGTGAAGTAGGTTTATATACTTAGTGGTTATGTATTACTTACTTAATAATGCCCGTTACCCCTTGTAGTTCATGCCCTGTCGATCAGGTATCTCCAACCGACTCTGTTCTGGTCTTTCTTTTACAGTTGTTCCCAAGTGCTGTTCATTCTTCTGATGCCTGCTACCGATATCCGACACAATATGTTCCTTGCTCTTCCTTTTTTCCTTTTCAGTTCAGGATTCCAAGCTAGGACTTGCCTCGTGATGCAGCTTAATGATTTCTGCAACGCGTGTCCTATCCACCTCCAACGTCTTTTCCTTATTTTCTCTTCAGATGGGAGCTGGCTTGTTCTTTGCCATAGTGAGTTGTTGCTAATGGTATCCGACCAATAAATGTTAAGTATTTTGAGTAGAAAATTGTTTATAAATACTTGTTCGTTTTTGATGATAGTCGTAGTATTCTCCACGTTTCATCTTCGTACAGTAGAACTATCTTGACGTTCGTATTAAAGATTCTGGCTTTGATATAGACAGTTTTGAGTCTCATATATTTTCCAGCTGTAGGAATGTTACCCTTGCTTTGCAAATCCTCCTCTTTACGTTTGCATCAGATCCTCCTTCTTCATCGATAGTACTGTCCAGGTACATGAAAGTGTCCACCTATTTCAGAATTTCCCCATCAAGTGTGATTGTGTTTGTGTTCTCTATGTTGCATTTGATGATCATGCTTTTTCCCTTGTGTATGTTGAGGCCTACTGCTACAGAGGCTGCTGTTATACTGGTTCTCCTTACCTGCATTTGTTGGTGTGTATAGGATAAAAGACTTTAGTCCAAATCGTCTAGTTGCATCCAAGCTTTCCGTTAGGTGTCAAGGTCTTCATAACCTAGTCGACCACCAGAAGGAAGTGAAAGGGGAAGATTAGGCAGTCTTGTCACACAACGGTCTTTACTTGGAATGCATTTGTGAGCTGTCCCCCATGCACTGTATTCCGTCGTATGAATTTCGTATGATGTTGACGATATTTTCAGGTACACTTGGCCCGGATAGCTCAGTGGTAAAGTCTCTGGCTGTGAAGCTGGGTGACACGGGATCGAGTCCGTCAGGGAGCACCAGTTCCATCAAGATTACAGGTACACCCTGCTGACGAGTGCCAGGTAGCACGGAACCCGGGTCCAGGGTTTCCTGTCGACTACCTCCAACCACCATCTAATCTCATAATAGTGCCAGCAGTGTCGAGTCACGTAGACTGGTGACCACACTACATCATGGTCGATAGCATTCGAACTGCACTAATAATAAGAACTTGACACACATGACATTGGTCACCACCCAGTGATCAATCAATTGTGACTTTGTAGTGTTGCTTGTCCAATGCTCCAGTTCTTCTTTAGTGTCAGTTCCACCTAGGGTAATGATGAGGATATATCAACTTTTGTCTTTGTTTGCTCATCTTCCATGAACTTTCTGTAATTTTTTATGGACGCAGGTATGATTGATCTTGCTCTGTGTAATATACTCCAGTGAAATTCATGTACTTTTGTGTATGCGTTTGTGAGTCAAAACGATGTCACCTTTAACCATATTGTTGAAGGAGTTTAGATTTCCCAGTCTCTCAACACTCTCGTTCCTTTGTCCCATTCCATGTCGTCCCATGATGTCTTCATACTCGGTGTTATCTATGATGACATTTAAAATTAAATTTCCCATCAGCATGGTCAGGTTCTTTCCTGAGTTTTTCTTTACCCTCGGCCGCAACCCGTCCTAAAACTGGTCTTTATCGTCTCCATTGCTATCGTTGGTGGACGCATATCACTGGATAAAATTCATTAATATCCCTTTCTTTGTTTCTAAGGATGCTTTGATGATTCTGGATCCATGAGATTCCAATGCTATAAGTGTTTTAAGTGCTTCTTTTGACAACAGCATCACTGCTACTCCTTGTGTGTGCGAAGAATTTTCTTCCTCATGATCAGTGTAGGATCTCTCGAAACTATTCTTTTCCGTCCATCTTGTGTCCAATGGGCTTCACTTATTCCGAGAACCGCCAACTTATCTCTCTTCATTTCCTCAGCTACTCTATTGGTTCTCCTGGTCTCCCATATTGTGCGGATATTCCATGAACTTATATTAATTGTTACCCTGATTGTCAGAAAGGGGCATCATCGGCCTCGTGACTTCTTAGCTTTCACCACGAGGCGTCATAAAACTCTTTTAAGTGAAGACTCTTCATTTCCCAATTGAAATTTTAAATGGTTATAGTGATTTTTCCAGCTAGTTTTTTAGCTAGATTTTTTTGTTTGGGTTGAGATTGTTAACCCTATGCCCAACCTTCCTCATCTGTGTAGGCTTGGGACAAACCGTAACCGCAAAGCAGCTTCAAGTGGAGTTGCATTTATGCGTATTACACTGATTATTAGTATAGATATTACAATTTTATAGGATATTAATTATAAACAGGGTAGCTCTACGGTAACATCTTTGATTATAACATGAGTTCAAATTTCATGGACATCGTTAGTACTCTCATAGTTGTAAATGCATCTCGCTAACTGACAACTGCCAGTTAACTTGACATTTATGCTCAGTGCTTCCTGTCAGTTATCTACAACCATTTCGTATCAAACATTTGGATTTAAAATTATAAGTAAACTAGATAAGCATAACGTTTGTCACTACCACTCAGTGGTCAATTAATATAACTATCTCAGTTTTATAGGAGATCAACAGCATTGAGAATTGGTCATTAGTGACAGGTTCATAAAACTGGTTGAACCGGGTTCGAATCCTATATACAACATTAGTCTCCTCAAGATTGTTGGTACATATTGTTGACAAGTACCAACTAGCACTCATATTTTACGGACTAACTCAAATCACCTTATATATAAGACCACATTTTTTAACTGGCCATAAGATTCATGAACGAAATAAATTATTTACTTAGTGTTTAAAGCATTCACTTTTCATTCATACTAAGTTGTAGCACCCTCCACTTATGTAATTTGATTCATGCAATTATTTCAAATCCCCTTTACACACTGCTTAAAATAATAGTACATTGATAAACTTATATTTGACTAGTGACTTGTAATATACAAAAATGCAGGATTATAATCACATGTAAACTTGTAGGTATCATTACCAAGGCTTGACTTGATAATTCCGAATCATTGATTTAGTATACAAAGAACCTCTGGTAAGAATTGTTAGTGATTGGTGAACTGATCAACTGACACTAGAATTGTTTGTTTCATATGAATGCTATAATCATAATCAGTCTATACTGTAAACAGCATGTGGTTTTTGTGTGATCAAATGTATATGGTCCACGTGGTGTTTTTCTTCGAAAAAAACTCCTGTTTTGTTCATTCGAATTTCTCATACCAGGTTTTTATGATAGTCTCTGCAATAAGACTTTTTTGAACATCCAGCATAACTACACACAAACATATATAACATTTAAATTCACTTGGTATTGTTTGCTTGAATCTTTTGATTGGTGTTTAGGATTGCAATTGATTAGTCTCTTATTGGCATATTTGCATTCTGTGCGTATTGACTCGATATTACCTTAGGTCACAAGTATTATAAGCTTGGATGGGTGGTGGTTAGTAGTGGAATCCAGTTTGAAGTGCGTTTCGTCCTATTTGGGACTCGTCAGCTGGCTGTTCTGTAATGCGCACAAGCCCCCAAATACCCTGGTACGGCCGAGAGGGGAGAGCCCGCTCTCCCTCTCGAAACAATCTCATATGGCCACGCGTATATAGCCTCTGCCAGAGAAGTCCTACTTATTGCCTCCTAGTGGCTGGGGTGTTGTTTACGAAATTGAGAGGACGAAAAGTGAATGTCCGGCGCTTTAACTGGGTTGGTGAACATGGAGAGTCCACCTAGGGAAGTTGGAAAACCCTGATTCCAAACCAATGGTGTACATGCGCTTCAGGATCCTAAAGGAACAAATGGCGTATGAACCAATCGTTGGTCACCAGCTACCATGTGACTGCATCTCCTCACGATGCTCCACTGCCTTGTGGATCAGACCTTTAGGTCGAAGGCTCCGGGTGGGGCCCCCTTAGAAAACCACCTGTTTCAGTTTGGGCACTCAGGCAGTATCACAGCCCTCACACATCAAATGAGATATGTGTGGCGCATATTTATTTGGTGTCTTCTTGTACCAATATCTATGTGTTAAAATAAAATAAAATAAGTCGTAAACATCAGTGGGAAGATTCAAGCAGACAATATCAAGTGAATTAAAACTTCACCCTATTGCACAAGCAAGGGGCTATCAGGACTCAGTAACTAAGTGGAGAACGTGTTTAAGGCGAACGGTACTGGGCTCGGGTCCCGGAGTGAAAATCAACTCTGATGTGCAAGTACATCCAGCCGACGAGTTCCAACTAGGACAAAACGCGCGTCAAATTGGATTCCGCTGTCAGCCACCATTCATCTTTGCTTATATATAACATTTTTTTATACAGTGTTACCATTTGAATAAGTGTGATTCTTCAAAGGTAGTGATAATTAAGCAGGCATATCTTATCAAACTTTTTTATCCTGAAAAGACTAATTTTTACAAATTCAGTGCAGAACTTCGTAGTACATCGTCCAGTTGTACATCTGACTGTTTTATGATTTGCTGAACATTGAAACGTATCAGAAGGGGTTTTGTAGAGACTTTAGTAATTTCAATAGTTGAGATCGAAAGTCATTTGAAGATAGATCACCATGGAAAACCTGGAAGCACTAGACGGCCGTTTCGTCCTAGCATGGGACTCCTCGGCTGGCCGACATCCAACGGTGTTAATATCTACCTTCAACTAATCCACGAAATTAAGCGACACATCCACCATTGTCATCAGTGAGTTACTATCTCACAACTGACCCGGAGTTCTAGTGAGAAGCCATCACCAGTGAAGTTCACCCAGATCTGTTGTGAGATATCAGCTCACTGAAGACAATGGCGGCGGTTTCGTGGATTGGTTGAATTTAGACATTAACACAGTTGGATGACGGCTCAGTGGTCTAATGGTTATGCGCTCGCGCACGAGACCGGTAGATCCTGGGTTCGAATCTCGCAGGAGGCGGAATCGTGGATGCGCACTGCTGAGGAGTTCTATGCTAAGACAAAACAGCCGTCTAGTGCTTCCAGGTTTTCCATGGTGGTCTATCTTCAAATGACTTTCGATCTCAACTATTGAAACAGTTTTTAAATAGTGTCTTCTATGTATGACAGAAATCATTCTAATGTCCACCAATATTGATTTATCATCATTAATATTCATAGCTATTTATCATTTATATTATATAATCGTTTTATCAATTTCTCTTGATAAGAAATAAAGATTCTGCATTAAAACTTCAAGAGGCATTTGCAAGACGTTGGATTAAAAAAGATTATTTATGTATTACTGTTGGTATACCAAGATCAGATTATGGTTATATACAATTGCCATTAGTTGAACGAAATTTCAATGGAATTCGTAAAGTAAATTAACGTTGTTGTTTTGCTGTTGTGTATTTTCTTTTCCATAAAAATAATCTATCCAATTTATTCCATTGATAAAGTATCTTTCTACCAAGTACGAAGGTATCTCCGTGAAATGAGCTGTGAAACACTGAAAAAATCACTTCATTTCAAATCTAGTTGACTGACATCAAGATACATTCCAGAGAGTAGACCAAGATTAGCATTATTTCATGAATTTGCTGAATGTTGGATTGAATCGTGTAGAGAAATACAGACTACTACTTGATTGAGTGGATTACATGAAACTCTCTTAACTAATGATAATTGTAGTACATTAGTTGATATAGCTCAGAATGAATCATAATGCTATAGACAGATACACTTGTTATCTTCCTTCAGATCTTGAGTTTTAAAATGTTTATTGTTGAGTCGGCTTTCGGTGAACTTCAACGGAGCCTCCAGAGGCCCAAAAGGAGCCGAAGAGTCCTAGCTAATCACAGCACGATGGAGAATTCTAGAATTCCAACGTGGCGTGCTACTATTGGTCAGTAGCATAATATGTCGCTAACGGATTGGCCAAAATATGATGTTGATTTAACAAACGCTAACATCTATAAATACCCATGATTTTCTGCACAAAAACGAACCTTGGAGTAAAGTATTTTCTCTCATACTTGCATCTTCTCTCTGGTGTTCAAGTCGCTGTGTAGTCTTAGCCTGTTGGTTACCAGAATAGCTTAAGAAAACGAATATAGCGTTCAATCGACAAGAAATATCATTTATGCCTTTTATTATGCTACTTGATTGTTTTTTCTCTCTGACCATGTTGTATATAATTAGTGGTTTCTACTATCAGTAATACTGTAGTGAACGAGAATATAAGCGGGGACAATTGAATGTATTTAAACACAAAATTACAGAGCATCTTAGTACAATCTAAGATCCATACAGTAAATACTTCCTTTGCAAAATGTCAATCAATTGTCTCAGACTTCATTGTTCTTTCGTTTCTACACCAATTATCCTCTGTTCTCGTTCTCTTTTCTTTGATCTTCTCAAATGCCACCAGACATTTCACTTTCAATTGATGGTACATACTACTTATGTCTGTCAACATCAGTAGCACACATTTGAATACTGTTATTATTCTTACTACTCTAGCATAATTGTCTTGATAATTTTATCTCATTGTACAACTGATATGATGTGACAACTTGAACTGATCTTGATATATGCCACATTTTACACCAATTATGACTAACTAATTAACATATTCCGAAATTTCTGATATGAATTCGTGACTGGTAAATTTTAACCGGGTTTATATTGAGATAGATGTCATTTTTAACAAGTATTGTTCAATTAAAACCAAATACACACTTTCACTGTTATGATAATTATTATTAGTTATATAATAAACCCTTATGAGCTAGGGTAATTTTACATTGGTTTTCAAGAGAACTGGACACTTTCCAAACTTTCACGTGACAACTCAAACAGTACACCTCAATCCTGTTAAACAAAAGAACCAAACACTGCCCAGGCTTAAATTTTATAACCCGACCAATACAGCTCAATCCCGCTTCACAGAGGACCAGACACCATATAAGCCTTAACGCTACAATCTGAACAGTACAGCTCAATCCTGTGGCGCAACCACACAGGTACCCAGTAGTAACCTGGTGGACCATTCGCACCATTCATATACACACTCACATCACATGTATAGTTATTCCGATCAATGATCGCGTGACTCAATTATGCACAGCACGAACAGACCAAAGTTGACCTATTCCGCTTACACGACAGTCAAACTCATTAATGTTAGCAATGGCGACATGCCTTACAATGTCCCAATCATAATGACCCTTGAGAACACTGAAAATCAACCACCAGTATGAATGAAATCGGTTAACCAACAGACCAATTTCATGCATAAACAGTCAGTAAAACTTGCCAAAGTAATCCTGAACCATCCACAATGCCATTGGCGAACCTCCAGTCTCATATGAGACTTTCAGCTCTAGATAGCAATATAACTTACAGCCATGTCATTTCCGTTAAGATTATCATCTGTTCTTATCAAGATAACATTAGAAGACGGATCATCGGTTATGATTCCCAACAGATATTGTTCAATATAAGCAACGAACATGTTTATTTGGTTATGAAGTTGTTCATTATATAATAAATTCCATTTATTTTCACCATAACTACAACTCGTTAGATTAATTTCAATAAATTATTGTCAAAGTTATAACATGAAGTGAATTCAATGGATAACATTATTGATCGTTTCTTTATTTTTGTGTGTGATCTTTTGTCTATTAATGAGTTCAGATTTATTAATGAATGGAATCAGGATATTTAGTTTAGAAAATTGAACAGAATTATCAGTACGTAGTTGTTGATTTTGAATTAGTTATCTGTGTGAATTATCTGATAATCTTGGGTTCACCCTTGGTTACTTATGTCAACATAAGTAGTATATAACATCACTCAGAAATAAAATGACTGGTTGGAAAGATCAAATCGAAAAGAATAAGAACACAGAGTAGTTGTTACAGTAATGAAGGAACATTGAAGTTTGAAACTATCGATGGGGGATTCGCAAACGTAGTATCGAATGTGTAGTTTTAACATTTGACCAAAGAACTGGTTGCCCCCCATACATGTTCCCGTTCACAACGTATCAGATTTAAGGCTGTCAAAAAACCGGCAATTATTGGATTACTGAAAAGTAATGAGTCTTTACAACTCCTTCAGTTATCGTACACAGGATTCTTTCATATCTCATACAGTTCACGTTGTCAGTGGACCTTTTTTTTTACCTGAAATCCAATAATTTATACATTCAAACCCAATAAATTTACGATACAACCAAAAAATCATTCATTAGCCCTGATATTATTTGTCTCAATCTTGACATGATTGAGCTCTACTAGTTATAGATTCTTTCTGGGCATTCGAGAACTCATCTCTTAGTTAGTCATTTATTGGGTTATATATATACACCGGAAAAGCCTAAATGGATCACATGTCACTCCAAGAGATCATATACTGTCATAAGGCCACAATTTTGGTTAGAAATCCACTCATTGGTGAGTTATTATGAGTAAACAAATTATCCAACCATTCGAAATCACCGCTCACATTTCCCTATTTACAGTAATCTTCTTTCTTATATCTATTCATAAATTGTATTCATTATGATCCTAGTTTTGATTCTTGCGCACCCTTAGTCTTTTTACTGGGCGTAGCTGATTGTGAAAGCGTTGTAAAATGCTTGAATAAATCAGAATCTCAAACATAAAATCAGCGTGGAGAGGTTTGTGAAGATCATTCAATTTTCAACTTAGTTTTACACTATTTTTATTAACAATATCCATTGGAAAGTCTAACTCCTCCTCAAAATATTTACAAATATTTATCATATACATATGAGCGTACAGTTGAATTCCTTATTTTTAATTATGTGTGTTGAATCCATTAGTCAATTAAAACTAGACCACCATGGGAAACGTGGAAACACTGGATGACCGTTTCGTCCTAATACATGACTCATCAATAGTGCGCATCTATGATCCCGCCCGCGGGATTCGAACACAGGACTTTTCGGTCTCGCACGCGAACGCGTAACCTCCAGACCAATAAGCTGGCCGACATCCGACGACACCATCCATCATTGTCATCAGTGAGTTACCATCTCACAACAGACGTGGTTGAACTCTTGGTCATGGCTGCTCACTAGAACTCCAGGAAATACCTCTTGAAGTCAGTCACTAGTGAGCACATTATTATCAGAAGGGGGGTTTCGCGGAGATTTTAGTAATTTAATAGTTGAATTCATGAAGAGTCCCATTCTAGGGTGAAACGGTTGTCCATTGCTCCCATGTTTTCCATGATGGTCTAGCTTTAATTGACTCATGAATTCAGCTATTAAACTACTAAAACCTCCACAAAATCTCTTAATGGTTATGTATATATTAGTTATATTTTTTTCTTTTCATCGCCTCTTTTATTTTTTAGATGTGTGTTCCTCAACTAAATCGTCATCTACAAGAATTAACTTGTAAACAAACACAATTAGATATAAATAATGAAGCGAATGAATATGATGTAACAGATGCTTTCTCTGTACTATATGATAGAATGCAAACAAATCATAATCAACCAACTACTTGGTATCATTTAATGGATAGACGAAATGATGCTGCATTAATGCTTTGTTCTACATTGACTGGTTTGTTTTGATTTTTATTGTTTATTATGTTGTTAATTTGCTTAATTCTATAACGTATTGTGTTATATGTTTTTATCTCGTCTTCATGATATTGATTCATCTATATGATATGTCTGGACCAATATCTTATCGTGGGTTCGAATCCTGCGAGCGGGATCATGGATGCGCACTGTTGAGAAGTCCCATACAGCCTTCCAGTGCTTCCAGGTTTTCCATAGGTAGTCTAGCTTTAATTGACTCATGAATTCAACTGATAAATTATGTTGTATATATTGACTTGATAGTGAAATTGTTGAACTATTATACTTCGACTTGATCAGTTAAAAGTAATGGCTATCATTTCGAGACAGGACAATTTTTCAGTGTATGTTAGTGTTCTGGTGATTTCTGGCCTAGGTCAAACGAACCTGTTCAATAATGTTCAATTTCCAATCGCTTACCAGTTGTCTATGAACTAATCTTCATAACTTCATTCATTTGACATGATAACATTATCATTACTGTAAGTTTGATCTTAACAACTAACATTCAGTATTTATAGATTATAGCAACAATTTCCTGCATATACCTGTTATATCAGTATGAATAAATATATACTATTCTGTCTGTTTGTTTTATTTAAATGGTCCCTATATGTTAATTATCAGTGATATAGTATTGAAACATATATTTGAAGTGATAGTGAGATCACTTGGTTGGGAGTGGATTTCGGATCAACCATTGATCTATACAATCATCATGACCTTCCACTCATTGGATCTCTGAATTTTAGATATCAATTAACTAAGTTATATTATCAAATAGATCAGCAAATTGTACCATTAACGTTGAATGACTTGACAACTGGTCAGAAAACAGCATGTAGTTGATAGAGCAGTGATAAAATCACAATGAATAAATAGTTTTAACATGATGAGTAAGTCCCAACATGCTGAATGATTTATTTCAGTAAATGGTAAAGCGTTTATAGTCAGGATATGGGAAGCATTCTGTTTGTGATTATAATAATGAATAATTGCAAATATTTAAATTGGAATCTCAAAACTTAAGTTACTACCCATTTCTGGATTTCAGTTGTTTTCGTGAATAATTTGATCTTTTTACATACCCTCATTTTACGGTTCACTTGATTTCGTCCCCCCCACTCCGCCTAGATCCCAGTATTGTTTTATTCAGTTCTTACATAGTAATAAGTTACAAGGTGTTAGTCATTAGGTTTTGAATTTCATGCAACAATCTAACAGTCAGTCAGCTACAACGTCGTAGGACTAGACACATATATGCATCGGTCCAAATTGCCACACCTTACTCATTAGATGAACACCGAATTCATAGAAGTAGTTACATCAATCTAACAATCTCCATCTTAAATCTTACTGCTACATTAGGATAGTTTCTTTCTACAATTTTAAGGATACTATCCCTAACTCAGGGTCTGAAAAGTCGGAAAAATGAAAACTTCGTAAATGCGATAAAAATGATTTTGGTGGTCTAGTAATAATATTCTGACACCAGACAATGGTTTTAAATGTTGTCAAAGCCCTAACGCTTCAGGTTGGGCTATTTCGTTTACTACTCTACATGTGTTATATGCAGTATAAGCTATATGGCTATCTAGAGCTGAAAGTCTCATATGAGACTGGAGGTTCGCCAATAGCATTGTGGATGGTTCAGGATTACTTTGGCAAGTTTTACTGACTGTTTATGCATGAAATTGGTCTGTTGGTTAACCGATTTCATTCATACTGGTGGTTGAGTTTCAGTGTTCTCAAGGGTCATTATCATTGGGACATTGTAAGTATGTCGCCATTGCTAACATTAATGAGTTTGACTGTCGTGTAAGCGGAATAGGTCAAGTTTGATCTGTTCGTGCTGTGCATAATTGAGTCGCGCGATCATTGATCGGAATAACTATACATGTGATGTGAGTGTGTATATGAATGGTGCGAATGGTCCACCAGGTTTACTTGGTACCTGTGTGGTTGCGCCACAGGATTCAGCTGTACTATTCAGATTGTAGCGTTAAGGCTTATATGGTGTCTGGTCCTCCTGTGAAGCGGGATTGAGCTGTATTGGTCGGGTTATAAAATGTAAGCCTGGGCAGTGTTTGGTTCTTTTGTTTAACAGGATTGAGGTGTACTGTTTGAGTTGTCACGTGAAAGTTTGGAAAGTGTCCAGTTCTCTTGAAAATCAATGTAAAATTACCCTGACCCACAAGGGTATATTATATGACTATGAAATGTTGCTTTTAACACATTGTCTCGTAATCTTTTCCTATGTTTTCTAGGTATAAAACATCAAATTCGAGCTCATTTAGCATTTGGTTTACAAACTCCTATACTTGGTGATCATAAATATTCACATGCTGAATATTTAGCACCTCAACGTTTACCAAAATCTTTATTAGAAGTATTAAATATTAGACAATCTAAAGTACGATATATTAGTTTACATTTACATGCTTCAAGTTTACATCTTCGTGTACCACCATCATCATCATCATCATCTTCTTCCAAGTAATGAAGGATTTTTTGATTTTGTTCGATCATTTGATAATTCACATAGTAACAATAATAAATTTATAAAAAATCCTTTGAAATTCACTGCTCCATTACCGAATCACTTTCGAGGTAATTTAAAACGTATTGGATTAAAATTACCGCATTATTTAAAGTATTTACATTGATAGTTTGTTTCATATAAATAATGTATAGTATTCCATAGTATTTTGTATATGTATTTAATAATTCATTTACATGTATTATAAATACATCTATATACAATTAAACTTGTTTTTGTCCTTTAATTTGTGTTTGGGCTGTAATATTATCCGGGTACCCAAACCGGAAACAGGTGGTTTACTTATGGGGTGGCACACACACACCCGGAGCCTTCAATCTAATAATCTGATCCACAAGGCAGTGAAGCAACATCAGAAGATGCAGTCCGTTGGTAGCCGGTGCCATTTGTTTTCTAAGGACCCTGGAGCCCGCATGCACCATTAGTTTTTCATTTACTTAATTTTTTAAACAACAGTAATGCCACGAGATGGTAGTGAGTAGGATCCCTGTTCATATTAGATATGATTATTTATGAATTATGAACAATGAGGACCCGAAAGTCAACGTGCTTAAAATGGTCAAGGTTCGTGATGATTCAGTAATTGTCATGATCCTTAAAGACCGCTTTGACCTTCCTCTCAGTTTACAGGACTAGATCGATAGAATGCTATTGGAAAATTTAAAAAGGAAGCTCAAACGTCTCGCTATCGGTCACACGACTTATCTCAATGAAGAACAACAAACACTCAGATCGTTCGAAACTCCCTCGCTTAACGTTTTCTAGCACTTTTGATATGAATAGTGTTCTATCGGTCAGCCACTTGATGAAAATTTAGGGTGTTTATGGATCTCGAACGAATCTCACGAGGTGATTTTTCTCGGGAGAATTATCATTGTACATGACATTCCAGAAAACGCGGACCAAATTACTGCAATCGAAGATACCCAAAAGTGGTAGATCACAATGGAGTCCTTGAGGCTGATGATAATATTGCTTCATCAAGTGGTATGATTAGCTAAAATGGACTAGGATTCTAGATCCCAGCAAATAAAGATAACTTTCCGTTCTTTTTAAGTGGTGACTGTTACTCTTAAGGCATTTTGTGCCAACATAAGCTGTTTATCAACTAATTTACATGCATCTGGACTGACCATAAAAATAATTTGGTGACATGTGATGAATAGAGTAAGCATTTAACACAGTTAATAAGCAAATAATTGACGAGGTCAAAATGTGACATGAAAAGAATAAATCTGTCTGTCCGGAAGCTAGAAGAACCCGTATGGGCTTGATACACGACTAGGCACTGCAATATGTTTACAATGTCAATGTAGTAGAAAGATATAAACTGACTTGCCTTCTATCAACATAATTAATCAAGTCGCGGATTGTTTTTTATTTTCAGTGAATAAACTTCCCAAAGTGTAGGTTAGAAAATACATTTATCACTGAATTTGCGATTACTTCCGTGTACCGATTTATAACTATGACTTTTCATATTTGTTTCTAATGCCGGTCCGAAGCTAGGATAAAGGAGGAGGGTTGGGTATGGCACTTTCATTTTTCATATAAAGATAAATTTAATACCTGATATAACTACTAATAACTCAATCGTACACATACATTCACAGACAAAAATTCATTCTCACATTGTGAACTTTCCACATAATTCACATTTAACTGACTCATGTTGTAATTTCAATTTACTACTGATTGAACGATTACTGTTACATAACTGGGTGGTAATATTTGTTCGGATAATAATGTACATTTATATTTATAATGAAATCTAGAACAGTCATTTCCCCAATAGCGAATATCTAAACTACGTAGAAAACTATTCTTTATTATTATATATGACATTGGAGCGTCCATTGATGAACTGGATGTCAGTTGTATATTGTGAGATGTAATTTGGTTGTCTTGCTTCACGTGGAGAATGCTGTTTGTAAGACGTGTTAAACGAATTGCATAAGGGTTTATGGTCGGTCGGTGTCGCAAATTCACGTCTCTGTAATAAGAAAGTGAAATAGCTTACTGTCAAATAAATCGCTAGTAATTCGCGACCAAAGGCTCTATAGCTTCTTGCACTGGTGACAGAAATTTGCAAAAAAACAGTTATAGGTGTGATATGGACCTGCTAATTGCTTCATATGTGTTGAGAGTTGTGAAGATTTCTTATCCTCCAGATCATACGCTGTTAGTAGCTGTTGTAATCTATTTCGTTGGACACTGATATGCGTTGTGTGACTGTTGCCTTCAGTGTATCATATAGATCGATTAAATCGCCAACTTCTGCCGTAATTTTGATAGGCAAAGCGCCTACGACGTATGCATATTATGTTGCCTGTGACGATGATATGATGAAGAAAGATCTAGTTTCAACCTGTTGATTTTATGACGGTTTGTTTACTCATTAAATACTTTACGATGAATTTGTGCTAGTAGACATTCTTACACAGGACGGATGAGATTAGTTACTTTAACCTTTTGTGTATTGAGAATGGTGCAATGAGTTTAGGTTTACGTGTAACGCATCTTTCACATACCTCATCTTATGAACCGTTTGATTTACTACTGTTGTTACTTGATATTTGGTTAGCGTGATCAACTTTTCTGTGTAACTGAATTTTCGATTTCCCCAATGAAGGAAGCCTTCTTCTCTCATATATTTGATGTTGTCAGAGATTTAATTGTTTAAATAATAAGTATTTCGTGTTCATCTCACTTGAGGATAATTAATGTATCAAATATGTGACATATTCGAATCTTCGGTTCGTTGTGAATGAATCAAACAATGTTTGCAAGACATTGTATCCTGCTGTTGTTGTTGTTGCTAAAGACTGCAATTGACTAGTCTCTCAGTGTATCCATCGGTATTAAGATACAGTTGTGTCCAGCTAACGGTTCTCCAATATGAAGAAATCCACTTCCTGTATTCTAATACGATGCACATCAACTAATAGAGGCTGATGCAGAGATGGTAGAGATTCGTAGCTCAAGTGGGTGATTTTGATTCAAATTTTTTTTCTGCGGTGGACGTTTTAATCAAGAAGCTTTCATTTTTCCTCTCAATAACATCACCAAGATTATAAAGGCCGTTTAGATTAGATGTAGCACATAAACCAGCGAAATTACTTCAACCAAACTTATACAAATCAAACGATAAACTAACAGTTACATCCCGATGAGAATAATGAATAGTAACTTCTGGGACCACCATGGAAAGCCTGGAAGCACTGGATGACCATTTCGTCCCATTGTGGGACTACTCGGCAGTGCGCATCCACGACTCCGTCTCGCGGGACTCGAGCCCAGGGCCTATCAGTCTCGCACCAAGCGCTTAACCAACTAGACCACTGGGCCGGCATCCAATAGAACGAAACGGCTGTCCAGTACTTCCAGGTTTTCACTGGTGGTCTAGCTTCAATTGACTCATGATCTCAACTGTTGAATTTACTACAATCTCCACAAAACCCCGTCTGATACAAATATGTAAACATTGACAGGTTAAAGATTAGCACTAACTAATGAAGATCAAGCTCGACAGAACAAGCCTTCAGTCATATGTGGAGAAATTCGAATATACAATCTCTACTGGAAGTTTGTCCTAATGAATTTATTCAGAAAAACGATTGATGCTTCCCAAGTGAACCATTCAGCTCAGAGGATGAAACTTCACCAAAAGAGACAAACCATTCTCAGTTCATAGAATTAAAAAAACAATAATATATATATATAATTTTAAAACCAGTGAGTATCTTTTTGGACCGAGTTAATGAATATAACACTAGTTGCCCTTTGAAGCGATTTGTAGTAGATTCGAATTTCTGTAACAACGTCCTTTGTGTTGTACAGTCTTCAAAGCATCTACAGTACCTTGATACGTCGATGGGGCAATCTACGTAAGGTGCTAACGCGACACGTGGCTTCGACGTTAGCTGATTCAGTCACACCAGTCCCCGTCTAACTGTAGTGGACCTTCAATCGTTCAACGTAGATCATTTACCTTGGTGATCTACAATTACCTCACTGCTGTCACAGCCTCATATCAGTCAGTGTCACGACTTCGCCCTCAGGCTTTTTGTGACTGCTTTTAGGTTTCACTGTTCTCAATCGATCTGCCTGGCCTAGTTAAATTTAAAGGAACACGTATTCCTGCCAATATATCATTGCTTGATCCATCACGACAGGTATACCCTAACCACAACATCAAAGTAACAACTACGGTCATTTTATTGTCTTACATACATCTTTGTTGAATCATGCTAAAAATCATGTTCTCAAGCATGTATATATAGGTTACTTCATAGAAGTGATTCAATTAATTAACAAAGAATAAGATGAAAATTCTATATAACTACATCCATCAGAATCACTATCAATATGTAGCAAGTGAATGATGCCACAATATAACCTTCACCAGATCAAACAATTTCTGAGTGATACTTTAACTACTTAATTGATATTTCAGTACTATTTTATCCACACACTAATTTTTCTTTTAGTTACTGTAGAAATGTATATAAATTCCAGTACTCAAGTATTATTATTATTTCCATCATTATTAAGAGTGACCTTGAATTGATGACCTTGATTTCAGACGGAATTCACCGCACTTTCATCAAGATGAAATATTTAAACAAAAATAAAATCATAATCCATTAAATTGGTCAACACACCATCTAATACGACTTTAATAAAGAAACTTTAATAAATAGATAGACAGATATTTTAGGAAGATTTTCAACTTTGTTTTTCTCTCTTAAACAAATAGAAGATTATTTTTAGGTAATTCAATATAATGTTGATCACTTTTAATAAGCATTCATTGAAGTCAAGTACATGAATGATGATTCATCATGAAGAACGTAAACATTCACAGTGGAACTAGATCATTACACTATACACATTGTATATTGAATGACATTACTTTAAAAAAAACCATCGACATTGTTATATCTTGAAGTTGTTCTTGATGTACCGTGTATAACGTGAGCAATAGAACGCCAGAACCCTTCCAAGTCACAATGACAAGACAGAAGACTAATGAAAAGAATATTATTCCCAGACAGTGCCAATTATAGTACAAAATTGTCAGGTATTTATAGTTTTTAGTAAAAACGAAATTATCATTACAGTCCACCAAACCACATACAGGGGGTCATTAGCATTGTCCAAGTGGGAAGCTACATGTAGGAATTCTAGA